ATGCCGCTTGTCGATTTGCGATTATGATATCTCAAGCAAATTTGGTTAACGACGTTTGCTGTTTAACTGTAAATTTAGTTTATATATATGTCCAATCAAGTACACTAAGTATGGAATATATCATAAATATACGTTGAAAAAAAGAATTTGCTTACATTTACATGAGATGGACAGATCAACTGTCGCTGAATTCTAGAATGCCAGGTCTGACCACGTCGCTCAGCGCCGACTTATTACGTGGCTTGCTAGATGGCGCCGAGGGCGTTTTGGGCCGGGGCGGGGGGCAGCGGACGTGCGTGCTCAAGTCAGCAAATGGTGCCTACCTGAATTACGGCGGCGCGGCGGGTGCCTGCAAATCCACCTCGGAAACTGGCAAACGAAAACGAGCAACGATTGGTTTTTCGTCTCATCATCGCGGCAACTCGTCCGCGGGCCCGCGCCGGAAGAACATGCAGTCCCCAGTAAGAGCTTCCCAGGTGAAAAGCCGGGGCGGATGCAGACATTTCTCGCGGTGTACGCGCTCTGGGTCCTTACGAGGCGAAGATCGTGCGGAAAACCAGGCTATTAAGATGTTTAAAATGGGGCTAGCGGCGGTCAAGGGAAACTGGCAAGAGGGCAACGATAGACGCACCAGTCGAGGGAGTCTGGCGGGGCTTCGGACGATACCTGCGGTCGCGAGACTGACGCAACCGGTGGTCTTCGGTGGCTAGAGACTCGTGCTGCTCAGCGTTCTGGCAAACGCTGTATTAGAATGACTTTATGGCAAGAAGTCATGTTTATTTATATCACAGGCTCCTTATGCCAGCGAGGCCACTGCTTGTATCTGCCCTTTATGAAATGATTTCGTCATCATTTTCGTGGGGCATGAAAATAGTGGCAGAAGTAACAGCCTCCTGCGGCGGCACAAGACACTGCACTAAAACAAGGGACCGGAAAACGCCTTGAGCAGTCTGCCAAAGCCCGTATGTCGCCGAAGGCTTGGTCCAACCCGGCGCGGATGGTTCATGGAGCGCTCTTGAAAATTCTCTTTCCCAATGACACTTTTGTATGCCAGAAGCTTCAAGAACACGAAGTCATCTTTATCAGACACTTTAGGAGTAGTGCTAATATCATGAGCGGGGAGAAGACGGAAACCATACTGATAAATTTAAGTAAGCCAATGCCTTACATCACCGGTGTCACCCCTCCCTAAAAGTCGCCTGGGGATCTAGCCACTTAGAGTAAACCCTTTCTAAACACTGTCACTTCTCAGCAACCGATGCCCCTGATTTACTGGACCTGATTTTAGCCTGGACATTGGATGACCCGTGTTGATTTTGGCATCCCATCATTTAACCTGGACTTGGGTCCTAATCGGTATCGCGTCTAGTAGCTCTTCTTCAAGCTCCATCTCAACGCATTTTATATGAAGCCGGTTTGGAAACGTCAATGCTATTGAATCCCGCCTTCCACAGAAATTCCTGTTCTTATACAGGCCCAAGGCGATTCTATATCTAAAAAATTCAAGGAGCAGATTGTTTGTTCACATCGACAATCGTAGCCATTTTAAGCCCCTACAAAATCAACATTTACTAAATTCAAGTACTTTTCAAAGGCGACTCCCTCAATTCAGGCACTTTTTTCAAGGACTGTGCGAACCATGCAACCGTACAAGTCAACTATCATAAAACTGTTCGCAATAATTAAACCCGCGTCTCGGTGACTCGCCGCTAGAGTAAACACGCCGTGGGCAGTGTGCGCGGCGCGGATTTATACAACAACCGACGCCACCCACGGCCGTAAACAACTTCCCTCTTGAGCCACGAGTTTCACACAACCGGCAATATAGGGCTCCTTGTGGAAAAAAAGAAATCGTTCCAAAATTGTCGCCGCCGCCGCCGCCGGCGCAAACGTCGTCGAGATCGCCGGGCGATTGCTGCTGCCTGCTGCTGGTCGCCGTGGCGCCCGGCGGGCGGTGCGCCGCGTGGACTCGCTTGTGCACGCAACGTGCTTACAACCAGCAGAGCTGCAGCGTTCGACGGGTGCAGCGAGTACCTGCAGCGGCCTGTCAGCGAAGAACATGCTCGCCATGCCTCTACGTCTCCGAAGGCCCAACTTCGACCGCAATCGCGCCGACCGGACGGGGGCGGGGTGCGCTGCGGGAAGCTGCGACGGAGCCGGCGGCCGGCCAGCGGCGTCAGAGTGCGCGTATCAAGACCTCCGTCTCTCCCTTGGCTCCTCGGGGACACGGTCAGTACGATTCGCCCGGTTCAGAGTCATGAGCGTGGGCTTTCAGGCAGATCCGGTAAAAAAAGCACAACGGCAGGAGCGATGAGTAACGATTCGCCCTCTTCAAAACCTCCGAAATCGCTCCGTCCTGGGGTGGGAGGCCTCATGAATAGCCTTCTCCAATGTAAAAATTTATTTGGACAGAGAGCTATATCTTTATATGCCACAGACTTTGAAAATGATCCTCCCGTGGACCAACAACAATTTTTTTTCCCCCTTCCTTCAGGGGCCGCTCAGTTGCCTTAGTGCGCGTGCACTGACGTCACGGCTCGCGTATTGTCCCGCTTACGATGTTGGGTATGATGTCGGTGGCGTTGATACCGGTGACTGTCTTGTGTAAGAGGGGAATCCTAATTCATGGCATCGTACGGCATGTACGACAGTCCGAAACGACTGGCTTGTCTAGGCATGGCACGCATATCTCGTAGATGGGTTGATAGCGCTAATATATACAAAGGCAGGAAGTGCTAAACTTCAGGAGCAAAAATAAGAACCATTGCAGGTGTTACTTATATTCCATTGCAATTATGATTGATAATGGGGTTTTGACATCAAAGCCACTTGTGAATATGTATTGTACTATGCCGCTGCTGTCATAATTCTGACACGTGTGATTGCGTTTATATGATACGTCAAGCAATTATTGGTTAAACATGTTTAGCGTTAAAGACTCTGAACTCTTATTTGAAATATTCAATATAAATTATTTCCAATCAATAACCTACACTAATATGGAATATATCGATAAATATACGTGAAAAAAAAATTTGCTTACATTTACATGCAGATGGACAGATCAACTGTCGCGAATTCAAGAATGCCAGGTTCTGGACCACGTCTCAGCGGAGATTACTGGCTTGTAGATGGAGGGAGCGACGTTCTCAAGTCAGAAATGTGCGACTGAATACGTCCCTGCAAATATCAAATGGCAAATAGAAACAGCAAATCGATTTGTTTTTCGTCTCATCATGGCAACTGTCCAAGAACATAGTCGCAGTTAGAGTTCAGGAGGAATGAACTATTTTGCGTACGGCTCTGCGTCTAGAGAGAAATGAAACCAGCTATTAAATGTTTAAAATGTGAAGGTCGAGGAAACTGAAGAGCCAAATAAATACAGGTTGAGGATTGTGCATTCGAAATACTTGGGTACGAACTACGAACGTGTCTCTGGTTTAGGAATTTCCCAGCGTTAGGAATACCTGTATTAAATATTTTATGGATGAAATTCATGTTTATTTCATACACAGCTTATGCCAGCAGGCAATGCCGCATTCCTATGAAATATTCTTCATCATTTTGTGGATGAAATAGTGATAATATCAGGAGTAAATAATCTCAAATAATATGACAAATAATCTCAAATAATATTTACTCCTGATATGTAAACTAAACCATCAGAAAGGTAATCAAGATATTGTGGAGATTTCGGGGAGATCACCTGGCTGATTGTGGAGATTACCTGAGCTGCCCAGGTTGGTGAGTGACAAAGGCAAATGCAGAGAGACTTAGCAGTTTGTTGTAAAAAATACTCAGAAATTTCCCACTCCTGATGTCATGATGACGTTTTAAAAAACGTGTCGATTGTGGAACGAGTCAAACTTTGGAATTTCGAATAAAGGGTGCTCAACCTGTACTTTTTTTCAACACTGTCTACACATGTTTTGAAGCACATATATATATGCTATCTATAAATGTTGTTTAATATAACTGTTATAACTGCATAGACTAAATAATATTACTAAATTATAAGCTATGCACTAGCAATAATGACAGCCTCGTTTGTATTCTGTGATCGCAATTTTGTTTTCATCTACATAAACAGCCAGGATGCCTGCCAGTTATTTTTATGGTTGCTGAACACAAACAAAAACCTAAACACACTACAACAACACCCCCATTGACGTCATTTGGTTCAACGTTTTGTTGCTATGACATCGTTGATCAGAAAAATGCCACTGCATGTCACTGAGCCACTGATTATATTATGATCTACATACTATAACTGATCTATGTAGAGAATAAAATTGTACCCTTTACCTAACAAGGGATGTTTGCTTTATTTATTTATAAAAATGTGTTAATATGTTCAAGTAAGTTCGTAAGTGCCTTATTAACTTTTTTCATGTTTTGATTTGACATCATTTCAGTTGAAGTCAGTTTTCAGGAACCTAACTCAGACCATAGATATATACAAACACATGTATGTGTGTTTTTGTATATATCTATGCAGCAACTATACGATGTCAATGGGGAAATTGGTGTATACTGCTGCTTGCAACCATTGCGCACACATGGCACCTGTTACGTTTAAATATTTGCATTGTATACTTGCCCAACCATTGAACCTATACGACCTATTGGTTCCAAAAATGCTTATTATTGCCTGGTTTACGACTATGTCCTGGATAATGAACTAATGTTACATCCTTGTACGGTGAGAAAAACGTGAATCAGTCTGATCTTCTCCCACACAGTCTAAGTAACTAACTGTCTAAACAGATCACACATCCATTAAAACAAGAGCCGCAGAGCGTCTGGGCTCATCTGAGGTCTGTTGCTACGGTTATAAACGTAACATTTAAGTCGTGCATAGTGATACCTTTGTTAGGCGCAGATATGCAGATACGCAGTTGCGTACACATCATTTCAGCAACCTTCTGCATTCTGCATACCAAGTCAACGCATCTACGAGATATGCGTGCATCCTAACAATCCGTACGATCCGTACGATCCATGAATTAGGATCCCTCTTAACACAAAGACAGTCCACCGAGTATCACGCACACATCATACAACATCGTAGCGACATACGCGAGTGTGACGTCAGTGCAGCAGCAGTGCACGCGGGCCCTGAAGGAGGGGAAAATAACTTTTTTTTTCACGGGAGCTTTTTTTCAAAAGTCTGTGACAAAAAATAGCTCTCGTCAAAAATTTTGCGGCAGCTATTTTGAGCCTCACGGGAGTGATTTCGGAGGTTTGAAGAGCGAATCGCTCATCGCTCCCGTGTGTTTTTTACCCTGCCCTGAAGCCACGCTCATCTCTGACCGGCGAATCGTACTGACCGTTCCCGCCAAGGGAGATGACGAGGTTCTTGATCGCGCACTCGTACGCGCTGGACGGCAGCCGGCTCCTCAGCTCCCGCAGCGACACGCGTCGGTCGCGATTGCGGTCGAAGTGCTCGAACGTGAGCATGGCGAGCATGTTCTTTGCTGACAGCCGCTGCAGGTACTCCTGCACGTCGACGCTGCACCTCTGCTGGTTGTAGCACGTCGTGCACCACCCGCAGCCGCCCGCCGGCGCCACGGCGACCAGCAGCAGCAGCAGCATCGCCACGGCGATCTCGACGACGTTGCGCAGCGGCGGCGGCGGCGGCGACATTTTTGGACGATTTCTTTTTTTCACGGAGCTATTCCGGTTGTGTGAAACTCGTGGCGCCAAGAGGGGAAGTGTTTACGGCCGTGGGTGGGCGTCGGTTGTTGTAAAATCCGCGCCGCGCACGCCCACGGCGTGTTTACTCTACGGCGAGTCACGAGACCGGTTTAATTTATTGCAACAGTTTATGATAGTTGACTTGTACGGTTGCATGGTTCGCACAGTCCTTGAAAAGTCCTTGAATTTGAGGGAGTCCTTGAAAAGTACTTGAATTTAGTAAGTGCTCCTGAATGTAAACTAAGACCATCAGAAGGTAATCAGATATGTGGAGATTTCGGGAGATCACCTGCTGGATTTGTGGGCGATTACTGAGCTGCGCCCGGTTGGTGAGTGACAAAGGCAAATCAGAGAGACTTAAGCAGTTTGTTGTAAAAAATACTCAGAAATTTCCACTCTGATGTCTAGAGATTTTTAAAAACGTGTGCGATTGTGGAACGAAGTCAAGACGTTTGGAATTTCGAATAAAGGGTGCTCAACGCTGTACTTTTATTTAGCACACTGTCTACACATGTTTTGAACACATGATATATATGCTATTCTATAAATGTTGTTTAATATAACTGTTATAAACTGCAATAAGACTAAATAATATTAGTCCTAATTATAAGCTATGCACTAGCAATACTGACAGACCATGCGTTTTGTATATCTGTGATCGAATTTTGTTTTTCATCTACATAAACGAGCCAGGATGCCTTGCCAATTATTTTTATGGTTTGCTGAACACAAACAAAAACCTAAAACACACTCACAACACACCCCATTGACGCATTTGGTTCACCGTTTGTTGCTATGACATCGTTGATCAGAAAAATGCCACTGGCATGTCACTGAGGCCATGATTATATTATGTCTACATACTATAACTGATCTATGTAGAGAATAAAATTGTAGCCCTTTACCTAACAAGGATGTTGCTTTATTTATTTCAATAAAAATGTGGTTAATATGTTCAAGTAAGGTGCGTAAGTCCTTATTAACTTTTTTCATGTTTGTTGATTTGAGCATCATTTTCAGTTGAGAGTCAGTCTTTCAGAACTACTCAGACCATTAGATATCTACAAACACATGTTATGTTGTAGTGTTTGTTATATATCTATGCAAGCAACTATACGATGTCAATGGGGCTAAATTGGTGTATATCTGCTGGCGTTGGCACCATTGCGCACACATGGCACCTGTTACGTTTTAAATTATTTGCATTGTATACTGCCCAACCATTTGAAGCCTATACGAGCTATTGGTTCCAAATGGTTATTATTGGCTGGTTTACGACTATGTCCTGGATTACTGCACTAATATGCGTACATCTTGTAGCGGTGAGCAAAACGTGAATGCAGTCTGATCTTCTTCCCACACAGTTAAGTAACTAACTGTCTAAACAGATCACACATCCATTAAAACAAGAGCCGCAGAGCGTCTGCGCTCATCTGAGGCCTGTTTGCCTAACGGTATAAACGTAACATTTAAAGTCGTGCATAGTGATACCTTTGTTAGGCGCAGATATGCAGATTACGCAGTTGCGTAGCACACTAATTTCAGCCAACCTTCTGCATCTCCGGCCATACCTCCGCACAATCCCATTGGTTGATACAAATCGAGTGGCCTGAAAACTCCTGTTTTATCGGTGGGCATTGTGGACAACAATCATGTTTAACGCCCCCTTGCTGAGGTCAAAAGTTATCTTCGCACTGTCAACGGAAAGTACATTTCATCGGTCTCCTTTCAATAAAGCCAGTAAAAATGGTAAGTCCCCGGCGCTCGCGCCACATCCGAGGTCGGAAGGACGCGATGCGCGTTCCGCCAAATCTCCGGTAAAGGGGTATTTTTTCGCGGCGAGCAAAAGCGGCCCAAAGAATTGGTAAAAAAGGGGTGTAATTATTGACATTTCACCCGAGATGTTCTTTAAAAAAGGGGTGTCTTTTCCTCTCATCTCTTCCATCTTGATATCAAGTAGAAAAGCTTCATGAAATGCCGCGGGATCAATATTCGCTGAAATTCGCTGCTAGTTTTGAATAGCTCATTCAGGATATTTCATTTTGAAGAAGTAAAAATATTGCCCCATAGTTCCGCCGCAGTTAGGAGCAGTGTTGGCCAGATCTATAAAGGTGGGTCTCCAAGGTCAGGAAAAACCCGCAAAAAGCCCCGCGAAAGGGGGGTTCAGAAATTTTGGCAGTCCTGGATGGGGGTGCTTTTCAAAGGGGAAGGACGGCATATGCTGTACCGTAAAGTCAACACTGAGTGGGGGGCCCTGGGTAGGTCAGCCGCTGAAACTACAAAAAGTTTTAACAATGCTCGCGTCAGACCATGTCCTCAGAAAATGTGTACAATCGTGGCCCTGTGCCCCATTGACTTTGACCTGTGACGCATGCCATTTCGGCACAGTGATTGCTTTTTCGCTACCATGATGCTATACAGCCGGACTATCAAGCGAGCCTAGAGTACGAGCCGTTTAGATTTGTGCCGAACAATTTCATCGCATTATCTCCCTATACCTTAAGTTACGGAGGAATTGTTCCCCCTTCTTTTACACCTGCTTGCCTTTGACTTGACACCCACTCTCCGACATCAGCCAAGCCTCGTTTTCGCTCTACGCCGCCCCACGTCCCGACTTCTCGATCCCGTATGTCGAGCCATTTAGATTTGTGGCCAACTGTTGACGGACGCAGAGACCACAGCGGATTTCACAGGCGACAGCACGAGCGACGCACGACCGACGCACCACGCACGATCACGCGATTCTCGACAAGCTGCATCTGAACTACGTCAGATACTCTAAAAAACTGTTATTCGCATGAATACCATATGGCAAAATACTTCTAGATATTTTCATTTAATTTTTTACCTGGGTTACCACGAAATTCGTGGATTCGGCAATAAAATTATAAACTCCCAACAATGAGACACTACCAGTCAAGAATCCGGTGTGGGCCCACATTTGAAACAAACTAGAGCTCATAGGGTCTAATGTCGCCCCAGGGTACTATCGAGGTACCCTACTGGGTATACGGTTCGATATATCGAAAGTATCTCATAAGGGTACTTTCGCATATGTCGCTGCGTAATCCTGCATTTTCCATCCTACCCCCGACTCTTCAGGCAACTAATGTCGTAATACTTACACTCTGTCAAGTTACCACATCACTAGAGAAACGCCGTCAAAACATGGCTGCGCAATCTCAATAAAAAATGTGTATGCTACTGTTGACTATATTTTTCTTTTTCCTTTTTTTAAACGAAGTAGCTAGCTTTTATATTTTAGTTTTAACAAATCGGAAATACGTCATTAAAAGTCCAGGGTACGGTGGACAGATGGCGGTACGCCAGGCGACCATATCATATACCCGCGATGGTTACTTTCCGATTTACGAACGCCGTAGCCTAGGGTAGACCCCTAAGCTCCGGATAGTACGCAGCCCTGGTGACAATGACCCTTCCTAGCCAAACTAGACTGTCATGGTATTATAATCACCAAATCAACCAAATTTAAGATATCTATGACAAGTAAATGCTCACAAGAACCATTGTAACTGACCTGAACATCATGTTGTACAGATTTATAGTACTACTGAGTTAGCATTTCATATCATGAATATTCATTCATCGAAATGAATTCATTCATCATTTATATCATGAATATCATATCATTTCATATCATG